GGGCAATCTGCTTTACGTAGTCTCTTGATGTACATGTGCATCTCCTCCAACAGCACATTCTCAGACACATCCAGAATGACTTTCGACCAAATATTTGGGCACCTTGTGGCCCAGTCAAGTTGACACTAAAAATTGACAGTCATAGTACTTTTAGGATCTTGCTACTCAGAGTGTGATGTGGAGCAACAACATTTTTATTACCTGGGAGCTTGAGCAGAAGGATCTCCAGCCTTGCCTCAGACTTACTGAAACTGAATCTCTGCATTTTTAAAAAAGATTTTATTTATTTGAGAGAGAGAGAGAGCACACAAGCAGGGGGAGTGGCAGGCAGAGGGAGAAGCAGGCTTCCCGCTGAGCAGGGAGCCCCACATGGGGCTCAATCCCAGGACCCCGGGATCATGACCTGAGCCAAAGGCAGATGCTTAACTGACTGAGCCACCCAGGCGCCCCCCAAATCTGCATTTTAATAAGACCCCTAGGTAACATGCACTTTGTTTGAGAAGCACCCAAACTGTGCCACAAATAGATGACAAATCCCATTGAATTTGTTAGGCTTACAGCACATAGTTGGTTCTTCCCCTTTATTTATTTATTGTATCTTTTGTACACGTGTTATAACATGTTTTTTAGTACATGCCCTAATACATGCCCATTTGTTTTACTCATAAGTATGTGCTCATACCCGTGAACAGCTATTAGCATTATAAAGCATATATGAAAACAAATTTCAAACTGAGCTGAAGGTACAATGAATACTTTAAAATGTGTTGCTAAGCATGATGATGTCATGCACCCATCAGCAAATATCTCAAAGCTTGAGGAGGAAGCTCATCATTAATAAGCAATCCATTTTTTGAATGGGAGAGTCTTGATTGTTTTTGGCTGACTTTGCTTTGATCTGAATAGACAATCTTTGTTTTTCACCTTGCGACAAGCTAGCTGTTGCAGAGAGGGGGAGAGTCGACTCTATTGTGTTCTTGGGTTTGCTCTGTTAGTATTATCTTCAGGCTGCAGTTTTGTGGTGGGGGACGTTTTTAAGCCACATGCCTGCTCGGTGATGGTTAGCCTACTCACAGATAGGTAATTTATCTGCACAGCCCCTTTCGGGGTGCACCCCAATGATGGTGCCCTCCTGGGCCTGAGGTTCCCGGGTCTCACTGTCTGACGTGGACATTTCAAGGGAGGGCTCCAGCATCCATACACAACATTACATTGACTTCTTCCTTGAACCACTAAAAACCACACACAGAAGTTCTCAGATTTCCTTTCCTGATGCCAAATCATTTTATGTGGTCCCTGGAGGAAGCGGACCATACCTTGCAGACTGCTTTTCCAGGATATGGAGGCCTTTTAGGAACCTGTCATTTCCACTGCACACTCTACGAGGGGCTGCCTTGGGGGAAAAGCAGCCTTGGCTTCTGGGCTGGATTTTCAAGAATTTCAGGACTCAGGAGAAGCCCAGGGGATCTGTAGAAAGCAGTGCTGACCAAGTTTGTGGTAGCTTGTCCTGATAAATTACTTTGCTAACCTCTTGAAAGCCTGAATACTTTGGAATTTTTTTTGGCGGGGGGGTGGGGAACAAGAGAATCTGGGGAAAGCTATGGCTTCTTGTTCTATGGGCACAAAATTTCCATTCAATTCCAAAGGGGTTCAGAGATCTCTTGAAGCTCATGATGAAGAACCTGTTTAGAAGGGGAAAAGGCAAATTAGAGTTAGAGGACATGTGCCCTTTGCCTCAAACGTTCCTTTCCCGTAGCCCTTTTGAGTTTCAGAACATGCTTACAGCACAGAGCAGGGAAGGAGGCTGAGCTCTGATGTTAGGGACACTCTGGTTTGTATCTTGGTCCCTGCACTGATGAGCTGGGTTAACTTGAGTAGCTTTTTGCTCCATAAAATGTGTAGGTTAATCCTCACCTTGAATGCTCCCTCCCTTATTGGCCATCTTCCAGCTTCATTGGCCTTCTTTCTTGTACCTCAAATATTTGATCTGTTTCCTGCCTCAGGGCCTTTGCACTTGCTGTTCCCTCTGCCAGGAAGGTTCTTTCCATCATCTTTATGTGACTACCTCCTCACCATTCAGGGCTCAACTCAAATGTCTCCTCCTCAGGAAAGGTTTTCCAGACCACCTTATCTCTCTTTCTCTGTTTGTTTAGAATTTTTAGAAAGTGTACAATTCAGTGATTTTTGGCATAGTCACAGAGTTGAACAACCATCACCACTCTGATCCCAGAACCTTTTGATTATCGAAAGTCTGTATACATTAATGCAACAGCCAGTCCCCAGTCCTCCCTCTCTCCAGCCCCTGGCCATCACCACTCATCTACTTTCTATCTCTATGGATTTGCCTCTTCTGAACATTTCATATAAATAGAATCATCCGTTCTGTGGCTTTTTGGGTCTGGCTTTTTTGCAGAGGATCAGGTTTCTAGGTTCCATTCACGTTGTACCAGGCGTCAATACCTTATTGCTTTTCATGGCTGAGTCATACTCCAGCTCATATCACATATTTTGGTTATCCATTCATTCGTTTATTTGGGTTGTTTTCCACTTTGGGGCTGTTTGGAATAACGCTGGTATGCACTGGTGTCTCTTGATCCTGTTACACTTTTGTGTATTTAAGTTTCACAGCTCTCGGTGACTTATTTAATGTGCATACTTCTTATCCTGTCCCCTAGAATATAAGCTGCAGGCAGGCAGTGGTCTTGTTCATCTTGCATATTGCTATATTCCCAGAGCCTTAAATAGTGCCTGGCACAGAGTAGGCAGTAGATGTTTGTTCAGTGAATGAATGAATGAATGGGAGCAGTTGCTATTCTCTTGTCTCTTGGAGGACTCAATCTTTTCCTCTAATTCACGTGGGACTCTTGCTGTCTTCCCTGTATCTCACATCTGACACTTTTGGCCGCCTGTAGTTCTCCATTATCTCATTGCCCCGTGAGCGACCACTCCCCCAAGCTCGGGGCCTCTGTTACCCTAACAGTCTCAGACTTGAATGTGCAGCAGAAAACGCAGGTGGCCTGGGCCCTGGAGTTTCTGAGTCAGTGGGTCTGGGTGGTTCTGAAAATTTGCATTTTAACATGTACTTTGGGGGAGGGTTTTGCTCTTGGTTGGCAGACCACTATCTGAGAATCGGTGCTCTAGGGGGCTAAATTTCAGCAGGCGGACTGGGCCTGTTGAGTTCAGAAGTGGTATGTGTGGGCCTCACTCAAAGAGCTCACCTTGCTTCTCTTTCTCCCTTGATGGGGATTCAGAGGGTTCTGGTTTGTTAAGAGCATCCTGATGGATCTGAGATCATGGCAGTATTGCTTGTGGGGGTGGACCCTGGAGAGGAGGCATGGATGAGGATGCTTACTGCAGGGTTGTGTATGGAGGTAGGAGGGTGGTGCTGACCATCTAGGTTCCCCTAACCAGGGAAATGGATAAGCAGGGCTGATACTCTGCCGCTTCACCGTGAAACCACGGCATGAAGGAGATTCACATTTCTCAATAGGGCTAGCTCTCAGGTTGTGCAAAGAGAAAGAAACAATGAGGTTTATGGCAAAAACACTGCTCATGTCAAAGATACACAGCTGTGCAATGATATCTGCAACAGTCTATACTGTTCCAGGATAATCCTATCTAAATAAAGATACGATGGAGAGCAGGTAAAGAGGAGTAAATGTGTTGGTGAGGTCTGACCTTAGGAGTGATATCTGACAGCTATCTCTGTTCTGTTCTGTGTGCAAACATTGAGCTGCTTGGCTAAGTTTACGTCTAATTGTGAAGGTCACTGTTCTGGTTGAATTGGGTGCCAGCCCTGCCCCCATCCCCTCCCCCCCATTAAAACAAGTCTTTTTTAAAGTCCTGATCTTGATTTAGACATAGGATCGTTGCAGCTGTCGTGATTTAAGACAAGGTTATCCTGGAGCAGGGTGGGCCTCTAACCCGATATGACTGGTGTCCTTAAAAGACAGAGACTGTGGGAGACACACCAGGGGAAGATGGAGATTTCTAGCAACCGGCAGAAGCCAGGAAGAGTCAAGGGAGGAGGCCCCCTGTAGGTTTCCAAAGGGGTGTGGCCCTGCCAACATCTTGATTTTGGATTTCTGGCCTCCAGAACTGTGAGACCATAATTTGTGTGGTTCGAAGCCACCTGGTTTGTGGTACATTGTTATAGCAGTCCCGGGAAACTAATACAGTCCCTTAACACCTCTCACCTTGTTTTCTTATTTGTCGAATAATAGTAAAAAATATTAACCCTTGGGTGAGCGTCAGCGAGATTGAACGTGATGATAAATGGGAAGGGCCCAAAACACAGTAGGTGACTCGGGTTGTATGCTTTCCCTTCATCCCAGCTACTGATTAAGAGGGGCACCAACAAGGGGCGTGGCTGGATCACACCAAATCCTCCCTAGCTGCAGGAAACCCAATTCACGCAGGATACAGAGCTCTGCGTAGGCTCTGGCTCAGCCCTGTACAACTGGCTGTGTAATCTTCAGCAGGTTAATTCACCTCTCTGAGCCTTTGTTCATCTGCAAAGAAGGAGTAATAAACCTCAGAAGGTGTTTGTATGCTACTTAGTTGAATTAAGGCTTGTAACGTGATTAGCATGGGGGCCGACTTATGGTAAGTACTCCATAAATGTTATTTATTGCTAATAGTGGGCCATGCTGTACATGAAGAGTGGGGTCTAGCGTTAGCTATGAAGGGGGACTAAGTTTATGGGGTGCAGACATATTAGATTCTTCGCTGAATCCTCTCAACAACTCTGCAAGGTGGGTGATACTGCTCTTACGTAGCTATTGTGAGGAGCGTGTGGACTGTTTTGCACGAAGTCCTTATGTAACCTCTAATTGCAGTGACCATTTTACTCCCTTACGTCCATTTTTCCCTCCCACCCCTAACTAGAATGGCAGCTCGTGGAGTCAGGGGCCTCGTCTTCATAAGCCCAGTGCTCCGAGCACAGCAGATGCCAGTCATTGTGTTTGGAATGAACAGATTTAAATTCTTTCTTCTTTCAGGGCCCTTGCAGATGTCATGAGCCCACAGGGCCACTGCAACACTGACCACATGGAGAGGGACCTCAACATTGTGGTTCATGTCCAGCATTATGAAAACATGGATACCAGAACCCCCATAAATAATCTTCGTAAGTATAGTCGTGCGGTCCATTCCCAGCCCCACTTGGTTATCCATGCAGTGATCATGTGTCTAGATTTCATGGTCTGTGTTTGGGTTCACTAAGAGCTTTTCTGTTTGTTGGCTAGTTAGAAGTTTGGTTTCATCTCTCCAGGATGAAGCTGTGTTTGGCTTCATCCAATTTCACTTGGTTTGTTTCTCGGTTCAAGAGTGATCCACTTGGTTGGTTTCCTATGGTTGGTTCTGTTAACGATTGGCCCTCTTGTTTGGTTCGTGATGGTTGGGTACCTCGTTAACCAATGGTTTACTTGGTTGGTTCATCTGAGATAGTTAATCTGTTACCCAATAACCCATTTTATTGGTTCATCTTGATGGGGAATTCGGTGAACCAATGGCCCATTTGCTTATTTGCTTCTTGAGGTAGACCAGTTGTGATCTTTAGGTTTCATGCTGTTTTCCATGAACAGATAGTAGTTCAGAAGAATTTGATCTTCTTTTTCATCAAAATAAAGTTTGGCAAAAATAAATCACACACTACCCTGTGTGTGTATGCACACACACGTGCACATACGTGTTTGTGTGTGGGGTGTTCAGCTGTGGTTATGTTGGTTTGGGGTGTGTACATGTGACTCAGAGTAGCAAATTCCCTTCCATTTTTCTGCCAGGCGGAAAAAATGCTACATAGGTATTCTGGAGCTGACAGAGCATAGTTGGGGATCTCAGTATGCTCCCTCAATTTTTCTTTCCTTTCAAAGGTCTTTATATACAATATACGTTATGGAGCTGATGTACTGACTAATGGGAGGGGGAAAGCAAGATTGTTTGGTTTTTGACAATAGTGTGCTACTGTGTTTATTCCTAGCAATTATGTTTTCAAGTAACCCCCACATTAAAGTAATGTGGAGGGCTTGGTTTAAAATAACAAAAGCCAGACAATTTAAAAGATGCATTTAGTTGTGGCTGGAGGTTCTTAAAAACATCACGCATTTTAGAGACTGGGTTGCCTTGGCTGAAACTCCACCAGCAGAGCCGCATTGGTGTTTTATTTGCTGAATCATCGTTTTCAACTGTGGCCACAAATTTTTATGCTCGATGGGTAGAGGAATAAATCTGTGGCATTTGATATAGGTGATGCAAATTCTTTGATTCTGCATGGTGATAATTTTTCATAGCCTTGGAAAAATGTTGCAGTATATTTGTAAAGTCAGTTTACACAGTTTGGAAATGGGTTACCAGATAGAATGTCTTAGGTGTCATTGTATTAAATAATTCGACATTATTTATTTATGAACCTGGTTGTAGAATGGCATGAGAAATAGCCACATTTTAGAGCCAAATACATCAGCAGTTGAAGTTTTATGACCGAATCTCACAGCCCTGAAAGATATGGTAAATTGTACCAACTCTGACATGGCAGTTGCTGAGCCCAGTTTTGGCTTTGTTGGAAATAAGCACATTCTCTTTCAGATGTCACTGGGAAAAAAGTTGAACCTAGGTGTATGTGGGTTCCAGCCCTGACACGTGAGCGAATACCATCATGGAGGAGACAAAGTTGAAATGGTGTTGAGTCCCTGGCTATACAAGGTGACTGTTAACAAGTTTCTCATGTGAAGTTTCAATCTTTAGGATGATTTTTGAATCAGCACTCAAATGGAATAACAAACTCATTGAAGTCACCCACGTTTCATCATTGCATCAGGCAAAAGGGCAAGGAACATTAATGAATCTTGTTTCAGTAAGGGACTTTTGTTTAAAGTTGTACTGAAAACAAGTTACTGCTCAGAGTCTCTCAGTAATCAGTGCTATTTATACTAATTAGAAGAAATGTGTCTTGTAATATTCTACTGGGTAGAAGTATACCACAGCATTCCTGGTGGACTACAGAAGAGAATTCCAGGTGTATGCCAACATTGCATTAACAAGATGTTAATTTTGTATATTGCCGCTGGGTTGATCCAGTCCTATTTCCTAGAATTCTTGGGAACATCTGGAAAATAAGAAGCATATAGCCCTTCCACAGATTTCCATTAATCAGTTCAATTTTTGTAACTAATTCAGTACTTGGTAGTAATGATAGGCTTTCTTGTAATGATTTTGTCTTTTTATTGATTCACAGGAGCTATTTATATATTATAGACACAGGGAAAATTTACATGTTCAGGAGAAGGAGTGATTTTTGGGAGTTCACTGAAAGGATAGGCCTCGATGACTGGTATTTATCAGTTGTCAGGGGTTCAAGAAGCCATGCAGTTGCTAGAGCCCATTTTGACCCACAGAGAACTAGGAGAGAAGGAATCCAGTCCAACTGAGAAGTTAGACCAGCTCTTGGTGCCAGAATGAGAATGCACCTATTGAATATAAAACCTTTTTCCGGACATTGTGGGAACTATGAAGATTTACAATTACAAAAAGTGGAAAAAAATGCATCCATTTGTGATATACTGAAAAGGGGCCCATCATGCCATTGTTGGGGTGTTCTTCACTAAACATTCAAGTGACCAGATCTGACAGGGAATTTGATAGCCCAAACTTGAATGTCATTTTTATCTCTTTTCAGTGATCCACTTGACATAGCTTTAAGAGAATCCTCCTGTCCAACTATTTATCTTTCTTCATCTTAATACTAATGCTAGACCCCTTTCTGGGCTTCCCATTATGCTTTGGTCACATGCTAAGAGAATCCAAAGTCAGTGGCAATTGAGAAAGAAGGGAGTGGGGAAGGACTAGGGTAGAGGCAAATGGAAGGGGGCGGAAAGCTTCAATGTGGGGAAATTTTGCCACTTTTCCTTTATAATTTTCCTATGGTAGATTTTTCCTGTGATATGCAAGACTTGCCTTTTTATCTGAAGATGGATTTTTCTTCAGCTGATGCCGTTCGTGTTCTTTCCAGGCATTCAGTGATATTGCCTAAAAATATTTAGTCTGATAATCAAAAGGGCCTCGACCTCTTTGATGAACAGGATGTAGATTCAGATGAGATAGTGATTTTTCACAAACGCTCCTCAGCTTCTGTATAATTATAGTTTGCTTTTGAAGGCACATTTTGTCCTCAAGTGCTATGAACGTGCTTCTGTCTCCCCCACCCCAGCCTCGCAGCCTGCCAGTGACACTCCCCATCCTTTCTGGGAGTGCAGGGTAAATATAGGCTCCCTTTCGTCTTAAGGATGGGTGATGGGAGTGAGGACCGTGGATACAAGGAGAGAGCTCGGATCAACGTCTCTCAACTCGTTTGTGTTAACAGCACACTTTTTTTTTTTTTAAATGCAGTTTTAGTTTTGGAATACTTTTATATTTACAGAGAGGTTGCAAAGATAACACCCAGAGTTCTGTATACTCCTCACCCACTTACCCCTAATGTGAACATCTTACATTACTGTGTACACCTGTCAAAACTAAGAAATCAACATTAGTATGTTATTTTTAGCTGAGCTGTAGATAATGTTTAGATTTCATGATATTTCTTCACTTATGTCCCTTTTCTGTTCCAGGATACCGCATTGTATTTAGTACAGCAAACTTGATAGTAGAATTTTGGTTGGCAGTACTGTTTAATGATGTGGTAAAGACTGAAAACAACCCTAAATAAGTCAGCAGCAATTACAAAGCCTTTATTGCCATAGTATAAAAAGCGTCTCCCAGTGTCTATAAAAACAGCCACATAAAATTATTTACCTGGTCACTGTTGGAATAGAACCAGTTGATATACCGATTGTGCTCTCACATAGACTCGTGGGACAGAGTACCCTCCGGTTCCACCCAAACATGCAACCCCTCTTTGGAATTGGATTGATGTTCCCCTATTTATTTAGCAGCATAATCTGAGCAGGTGAGATCTCACCCTGAACTGAGGAGAAATGCTAACTTGATATTTCAGGATATAGAATCCATCAGAAAGACCAGGCTCCCATTCCAGCCTCACCCCACCCCCTACTGCCCCAGGACCATTCCCAGGTGGGTTTACAAGGAACCAGATGCAAAGCAGATCCATGGTTTAGCCTCTGAAGATGCTGTACAGCTCATGTCTAGGGCCAAATGGATTTCCATTCATTTGTCCATATTTACAAAGGTACTTGGGTGTCGTTTAGTTGACTTTTGGAGACACTGGTCCAGATATTCCCAAATATCTTTTCAAAATCGGGGAATCTCCTAATCAGGGAGGTATATAAGATTCAAACATATGTAAGATAACGAAATGTTAACAATAACTTATATAGACAGCAATCTAAACCCCCAAAACAATGAATCTTCAAAACCTTATTAACTTGGTACTGTTATTTTCACCTCATAAAGGTGGGAAAACTGAGGCTCAGAGAGGTTAAATAGCTTATCGAAAGTTCATACAGCTACTCAATGATGGAGGTGGGATTTAAACAGGGCCAGTCAGACCCTAAGGTCTGTGTTGTAAGCACTACACTACATGACCTCTCCTTCTGGTACAGGTGTTTGCAGAATGGGGAAGTCTTCCCCTTAGGAGTTGAAGTTGATAAAGGATATGCTAGATGAACCCAAAGATCAATTGGCAGTGTAGGAAGGAGAGCTATTTCCAAAATATACTCCAAGTATATTGTGGAGTCCTTCCTTAGGAGGAATAGTAACTAACATTTATTGAGCACTTGCTATGTGCCGGGCATTGTGTTAAAACTTTGGATGCCTTAGCTCGTTTTTTACTGAAAACAACCTTCAAACAGCCTAGCTCAACCCTGCCTCAGGATCTTTGCACTTGCGGTGCTTCCTGCCTACAGAACCCGGCTCCCAGGCTTCCACCCTTTTACATCTTACCCCCAAAGCTGCCTCATTGGAGAGGACTTCCTTGTTTCCCTCTGGCCCCCAAGTCATCTACTGTTCCCCATTTCCCCATTATTTTCTTTGTAACTTTTCTTCCCTCTGGAATTGTCTTCCTCATTATTTATGCCTACAACATAAACTCCATGAGAATAAATGCTATGTGTTGTCATAGCGGCCCCACATGCTGTGGGAACCAGGCTGGCTCACCACAGCAGCCCCATACAT